CTAGGCCAGTATCTTTCCAGACAAAGGTCAACCTTTACCTCAACTGAGCCTGTCTACTGTCCTGATAACAGACCTTTGGAATGTCATAGTAACCCCCTTTTCCCGACTCCTCAGGGCACAACACCCCATCAGAGCATGAGACCCCAGCCCCTCATTGCTCCCTTGTCCTCCTGCACACCATCCCTCTGTGCTATGAATGTGAACTGTTAAGGAGCCTGTACCCACCAATGTAAAATACTTCCCCTTGGGCGCAGTGCGAAAGCGCCTTTCCCTCACCGCTGGTGACTCGCCCACCCAGGCCACATCGATTTCTTAATCTCTGCCGATCGATTTATTGGGAGCAAACAAATAGCCCATTTTGGAAACGTTTCAATTGTGGGCTTGATGGTTGGGACGCTGCCGCGGGAGGGCGCGCAGGGCCGAGGGGCGCCGACGGGCTGCAGCCTCTACGTTTGGCGCCTGCACCGGCCCATCCGCTCAATATCGATTGCTTTCCCGCTGCCACTCTCGGCTGGGAAACCGGCCGCGGCTTCCCTCCTTCCGGGAGGACAGTAGCGCCAGCCCGCAACCTCCGGGGAGGAAAGGAGGCGAAGGGAAGGGCCTGGGCGGGAGCCTGACATTGAGCAGGGTCCTGCCCTAGGCCGACTACATTCCAGGCTCAGTAAATCCTGTTTGCTAAATAATTGCATGTTGCAGCTAAATGCCCACAAGTCGTCAGTTACCGCCAAACTTAGGGTAAAGTGAGATGAAAGAAGCGAGACAGATACAGAGAGAAAGTGACATAATAGTGGGAGAAGAAAAATGTGATAGAGGGAATGGAAATATTGGGGAGAGGGTGAAATGTCGATAAATATTTTCTGAGTTACTGGGGGAGAGAGCGTGAGGAGTGCACACACATACTCTGGGAGTAACTACTTGGGCCACAAGCAAACTTCCCAGGAGGGATTTAAAGAAGATGGAAGCGAGCTGTCTCACCTGTTCAAATGTTTGAAACGGCTCAGCCAAAGGAGAAAGGCATGAGGTTTCTCTTGGGACGGGCAGAGTCCATGGTATCCAGCTGGGTGGTGGCCACCTGGACGGGGGGCCGTCGGGGACGGGGTTGGCGATGGGGATGGAGGGGGCCAGGGCTCTAGCTACAGGAAACAGAAACGTGAAGTCCGGATCGATTGGAAGGAAATTGAGACACCTCGGGGGAGGGGAGATTTTGTGTGCGTTCTCCGGGATGAAATGGAGAGGGGAGAAGTGAAACAATTTATGACGCTGAAGGGGAAATTAATTGTAACTCCGTTTGGATTCGTAAGTGGTCAACACAAAGGAGGGGCACGGCCAGAGTGCTGGAGGCGGGAATGGCCCACCTAACGCTGGCCAGGAGGGAGGAAACTCAGGTGTCCCGTTCCTCCTCCTCGAGGTCAGAGACTATGCCAATGGCTTGAATAAATCGTTGGACGAAAGTGAGATAGAATCGTGCCCTCACACGGCTGCGCTTTTCTTAGAATCCGGGAGATGGGACCAGGTTCTGCGCACTGAGGGGCGCGTCTGCCACCGAGAGGAGCCACCCTCTATAGCAGAGGAAACAAGACGTGGGTGGAGCCCATTTGGAATGTACCCCGCTTCCTGTCCCCCCCAAAACCGAAGTCGGCTCCTTCTTGACAATCTTCATAGGTTTGTTTAGCTACGATCAGCGTCTGCCTGGGTGGCCGCCACCGAGGGAGGTGGGAAGGGCTGAGCTGATACCCAGATCCCCAACCCACCCAGATTATTTCTATTTTCACGTCAGTGGGATTTTCAGCTCACTCCCCACCAGCTTTGTATACCTCTCCAGATCTCTTCGGGGTGGGGGAGAAAAGACTAATTTAATGTTCTTGTTTAGATTTGCATCTCAAAACTTCATTTATTTTCAAGGTGTCTGCCACTCAGGGCCCCTGCCAAGAAGTTCCGGTGAATGGCCAGAGACCAAAGGGAAAGGAGGAGAGAGAGAGAGGAGAGAGAGAGGATGGGTTTGAATTTATTTATATTGGAAATGTATAAACATCCATTCTGTAAAAGGCAACACGTTTAATTAACGATGAGAGAGCAGTTAGGGGCAGAAAGCTAGTAAAATTGTGTGATAAATTTATGGTATTGTTAGCGTGCTTTTAATTATGGCTATTATGTTAATTATTTCACATTAGCATGGAGTTATCAGCAGCATGTCAGATTTAATCAAAACGAGCCTTTCTCTAGAAAATTGTTCTTTTCATCCTCGAGGAGAAAGGTCTCAGGCAAGATTGGGGCTTAAAAATGACTTGGCATTGAAAGCTCGCATCTTTCCGACACGGTTTGGTGCGAGGCGGCGCGGCCCGGCTGTCCGCTGGGTCCCTCCAGGCTACGGGCTGCCGGCGGAGGAGCCGAGGGTTGGGTTTTTAGGAATTCAGCATTTTCACCCCCTTCCGAGCCGACACTTCATCATATGGGATCACTCTGTCAAACAATATGATGCTGCTCATTTTTATCTGTCCCGCATCACAAAACCCCCTTTCAGCCCGGGGAGGAGCAACAAAAGCCTCCAAGTGGCTTGCGGGCCGCTGTCCGCCACGGCCTCTCCCGCGCGCCAGGGGGCAAGAAGGGCCGCGGGA